CATGGGTTGACCTCATCAGCTCCAGGCTCCGAGCTGCTCCTGCCAGAACCCACAGGTGAATCTTGAGTCCATTTACTCTGTCTGTGACTTCTGGCTTTGGTTTCTCAGTGTAAAACTGGGCTAAAGATTAGTGAGGTGATGACTTGTAAGGTGGATAGTGGTGGTGGTGTTCAATCGCTCAGTTGTGTCCGACTCTTTGCGGCTCCATGGACTGCAGCGCACCAGGCTTCCCTGTCTGTCTCCCAGAGCTTGCTCAAACTCACGTCCATCGAGTCGGTGATGCCATCCAACCATCTCATCCTCTGTCGCCACCTTCTCCTCCTGCCTTCAGTCTTTCCCAGCATTAGGGTCTTTTCCAATGAGTAAGTTCTTCGAATCAGGTGGCCAAAGTTTTGGAGCTTCAGCATCTGTTGTTCCGATGAATATTCAGGGTTGATTTTCTTTAGGATCGACTGGTTTGATCTTGCTGTCCAAGGGACTCTCAAGAGTCTTCTCCAGCACCACAGTTCTAAGCATTAATTATTTGGTGCTCAGCCTTCTTTATGGTCCAACTCACATCTATACATGAGTAGTGGAAAAAACCATAGCTTTGACTATACAGACCTTTGTCAGCAAAGTGATGTCTCTCATTTTAATGTGCTCTCTATGTGGTCATAGCTTTTCTTCCAAGGGGTAAGCATCTTTTAATTTCATGGCTGCGGTCACTGTCCAGAGTGATTTTGGAACCCAAGAAAATAAAATCTGTCACTGTTTCCACTGTTTTCCCAACTATTTGCCATGAAGTGATGGGACCAGATGCCATGATCTTAGTTTTTTGAATGTTGAGTTTTAAGGCAGCTTTTTCACACTCCTCTTTCACCCTCATCAAGAGGCTCTTTAATTCTTCTTCACTTTCTGCCATTAGATTGGTATCATCTGCATATCTGAGGTTATTGATATTTCTCCTGGCAATCTTGATTCCAGCTTGTGAGTCATCCAGTCCAGCATTTCACGTGACATATTATGTATATAAGTTAAATAAGCAGGATGATAATATACAGCCTTGTATTCCTTTTCCAGTTTTGAACCAGTCTGTTATTCCATGTTTGATTCTAACTGTTGCTTCTTGACCTGCATACAGGTTTCTCAAGAGATAGGTAAGGTGGTCTGGATTCCTGTCTCTTTAAGAATTTTCCACAGTTTGTTGTGATCCACACAGTCAAAGGCTTTAGCATCGTCAATGAAGCAGAACTTTTTCTGGAATTCTCTTAGTTTTTCTATGACCCAACGGATGTTGGCAATTTGATCTCTGGTTCCTCTGCCTTTTCTAAATCCAGCATCTGGAAGTTCTCGGCTCATGTACTGTTGAAGCCTAGCTTGAAGGATTTTGAGCATTACTTTGCTAGCTCGTGAAATGAGTGCAACTGTATGGTAGTCTGAACATTCTTTGGCATTGCCTTTCTTTGGGATTGGAATGAAAACTGGACCTCTTCCAGTCCTGTGACCACTGCCGAGTTTTACAAATTTGCTGGCATGTTGAGTGCAGCAGCTCTTTAACAGCATCATCTTTTAGGATTTGAAATAGCTCAGCTGGAATTCCATCACCTCCACAAGCTTTGTTTGTATTAATGCTTTCTAAGGCCCACTTGACTTCAGACTCCAGGATGTCTGGCTCTAGGTGAGTGGCCCCACTATCATGGCTATCCAGGTCATTGAGACCCTTTATGGATAGTTCTTCTGTGTATTCTTGCCACTTCTTAATATCTTGTTAGGTCTTTGCCATTTCTATCCTTTATTGTGCCCATCTTTGCATGAAATGTTCCCTTGGTATCTCCAGTTTTCTTGAAGAGATCTCTAGTCTTTACCATTCTATTGTTTTCCTCTTTCTTTGCGTTTTTCATTTAAGAAGGCTTTCTTATCTCTGCTTGATATTCTCTGGAACTCTGCATTCAGTTGGGTTTATCTTTCCCTTTTTCCTTTGTCTTTCACTTCTGCCCATTGCAGGGTGAAGGGCTGGGGAGTCTGTGGCCTCGGGCACTCGGGAGGCGGTGGTGCCATGGTGAAGATGCTACTTGAGGCCCCGGCATCCTCCCTGGCTGCCTGCAGGGGCTTTGTTGTGGCTAGGGCCCTGTGGGCTGCCCCCTGGTGAAGTCACTCTCCCCTCGCCACACCTCGCAGGCTGGCAGGTGGGCAATCTCGCGTGTGCTGGCGAGTGTCTGAGGGTGTGTGCTGGACCCAAACTGCCACCCTGTTTGTACCTCCATCGCGGCGCCAGGGACCATGTGGGTTAACCCAGAAGAGGTGCTGCTGACCAGCATGCTGCGGATCACTGAGAGAGCCAACCCCTGCTTCATCCTGCAGCCGAGGAAGGGGCACACGGGTGCTGAAGGCAGACGTGGCGGCAGACTGGTGGTATGGCAGTCTCTACGTGAGGGGACTGTGGGCTTAAAAAAAATCCACAACCCAAAACTTGGGCAAAAAATAAGATGGTGGACATGTGCTCATTTTCTGTGAAAATAGCAAAATCACAACTAGCTGTTGAACAGTCATCGACAGGAAGATTCTGGAACCCACCGAGAAAAGGATACCCCACGTCGAGGGACAAAGGAGAAGATGAAACGAGACAGTAGGAGGGGCACAATCATGTTAAAATCAAATCCCATACTGCCTGGTGGGTGACCCACAAATTGGAGAACAATAATACCAAGAAGTTCTTGCACTGCTGCGAAGGTTCTAGGCCCCACATCAGACTTCCCAACCTGGAGATCTGGGAAAGGGACTGAGAATCCCTAGGGAATCTGACTTTGAAGGCCAGTGGGATTTGATTACAGAACTTCCACAGGCCTGGGGGAAACAAAGACTCTTGGAGGGCCAACCAAAACCATGTACACCAGGACCCAGAGGAAAGGAGCAGTGACCCCACCGGAGATTGAGCCAGATTTGCTTGCAAATGTTTGAGGGTCTCCTTCGGAGATGTGGGTTGACAGTAGCCTGCCACCTGGACAGGGGCACTGGCAGCGACAGTCCTGGGAGGCGCGTGTTGGCATAATTCATCTTGGAGGTTGCCAATAGCTCCACCATGGAGCCCACAGACTCCAGGACTGGGTCGCCTCAGGAGAAACAACAGGAAGGGAGCAGAGCCCCACCCATCAGCAGACAACTGGAGTCAAGATTTACTGAGCTTGGCTCTGCCCTGCAGAGCAAGACCCAGTTTTCCCCACAGCCAGTCCCTCCCAGCAGGAAGCTTGCACAAGCTTCTTATCCTCATCCATAAGAGGGCAGACAGAAGGAGCAGGAGCTACAGTCCCACAGCCTCCAGGACAAAAACCACAGAAAAAAATCACAGAAAGCTAACTAAAATGATCACATGGATCACAGCCTTTCCGTGGCAAAGGGGCTTGCGTAACTCAATAAAACTGTGACAAAACATGGTCCATTGGAGAAAAGAAGGGCAAACCGCTCTAGAATTCTCACTTTGGGAACCCCGTGAACGGTATGAAAAGGCTTTCAGTGAGGAGAGAGGAATTTCTGTGACCTGGGTTTGCGTTCTTCCTCTGATACTCGTTGTGTGACCTTGGCCAAGATAATCCACTTCTGTAGGCCTCAGTCTTCTCATATGCAAAATGGTGTCAGTGATGGTTCCTGTAAATTACTATGAGGATTAAAAGGAAACTGCTTGGAAACAGGGCCTGGCACATAATGGGTGCTAGTGTCAGCCAGGTTCTTTGTAAGCAACAGAAACTGATCAGTCACCTTAAGCACTAGAAAGGGAATATATTGGATGGATTTCAGGAAGCTCAAAAAATGGCCAGGAAGTCCAGTGGCTTGGAGAAACCACTGACCTGTGTGAGAATGAGCGGTCTCAGCAGCAGCCACTCTGTCTCTGCCCGTCTGATGGCTGAACTGAGGTGGGTCATGGGCAGGAGACAAAGCCCTCGACATGTGATGCCTCTGAGGCCCCTTGGGGTGGGGGCACCTCAGCTGTCTGGGATTCCCACCCTGGACCGGGTATGTGTATGGGGCTGAGGGAGGTGTTGGTGAGGAGATCCTCAGGAAATCTATGACTGTTAGATGTACAAGTGGGCAGGTTTCTTGTATTATGTTTGACCAGAAACAATGGCAGTGTGGCATATGGAATCTTAGTTCCCTGACTGACCAGGAATTGAACCTGGGCCCCCTGCACTGGGAGCACGGAGTCTTAATCTCTGGACCACCAGGGAAGTCCCGTGACTGCGGGTCTTTATTGAGAACTTAGGTACCAGATAGTAGGCTGAGCCCTATGTAGGAAATAACTCATTGGAGCTTCTCAGCAGCTCAGTGAGACGGGTGTTACCAGCCCTGTTTTATAGGCGAGGAAACTGAGGCACAAGGAGATGAAGGTAGTTGGGGAGTCTGGGCATTCTGAGTGGGCAGCACAGGGCCTGGCAACGGCCGGCCTCCTTTTCTCTACCTCTCTCGGCAAAGGCTGGGGGAGATGGCAGTGTAGACAGGGCTTAGCGCTGGGGTACGTGACCCGCTGTCCTCTAAGCTTCTAGTAAGAAGTGCTCAGTAAATGTGGGGTGCGTGGATGAGTGATTGAATGAATGGATGAATGCCAAGACTGTGAGTCTGGGGCCAGCTGGTGAGTATGGGGCCATATCACACCATCATTTTGCCTCATGTGTCAAAATTGCCCTGCCCCAGTCCCCACCCACACACAGTCTAGCTATGCCCGGGGCCTTACTGGCTGAAAGTGGTGGCCCCAACAGGGAAGGGGCCTTGAGGCCCAGAGAATGGGACACGCTTCTTGCTGTTGGCCTCATCCCTCCCAGTGAGAGGCTGGGCCCAGACAAGGACGGGGTCTGGGGCTTGCCCGGCCCCCGGAGCCTCGGTGTCCTCCTGTTTATGCCAGGTCTGCAGGCCTTCTGCTCTTTGCGCTGCCACTGGTGCTCTGATGGGCAGGGGGTGGGGCACGGGGCAGCTCCCCATTCAGAAATATACTTGGAGCTAGGAAATGCCAACCATGCCCCCCTTTTCCCCAGGAGTATGAGCGGGCCTCCAAGGTGGACCAGTTTGTGACACGCTTCCTACTGCGGGAGACGGTGAGCCAGCTCCAGGCCCTGCAGAGCTCGCTGGAGGGGGCGTCAGACACTTTGGAGGCCCAGGCCCATGGCCCGCGGTACGTGAGGCGCTCGGCCATCTGCGGGTCCAGTTCATGAATGTCTGTTATCTCCGCATGTCAGGTCCCTCAGCTTCCATCGCATTCTACAGTTCTGGCATCCCGGAGCCCAAATTCTTGTTCTTAGGCAAGGAGGTCAGGAGAGGGCGAGACAGCGTGGCTGGCTTTGCAGCTGGACCTCAATGTCCTGAAGTTTGGGGCCAGGCCTGTTCTGGGGCCCCAGTGCTTGGCCCCATGGGTCTGGGAGCAGTGGACTGACCCCCCACTCCCCTCAGGTCAGATGAAGAGAGGGTGGAGGTGCCGAGCCGGCCCCGAGGCAGCCGGCGGGCAGGGCGCAGGGCCCTGCGGAGCGTCAGTCGATCGTCCACCTGGTCTCCTGGCTCCTCCAACACAGGTGTGTCTGCGGCGGGGTGGGAGGGCATGGGATCCACCGGGGGCCCCAGCATTTGCTCCTCCACTCGCCCTCAACTCATCCTGAGAAGCCCCCAGCCTGAGGGGCCCATGCCCGACCCCCAGGGCAGAGCTCCGAGGCCGAGATGCAGTGGCGACTCCAGATCAACCGCCTTCAAGAGCTCATTGACCAGCTGGAGTGCAAGGTGAGCGCGGTGCGGCCACTGCCCTGTGCCGGGGGAACTGTCTGGAACCCGCGCAAGCCAGGCCCACACTGGGGGCCTGACCCATGCAGTGCATCCCTCACAGGCCCCCCGGCTGGAACCCCTGCACGAAGAGGAGCTGACCAAGGGGCCCAGCTCGGTGAGTCTGGGAGAGGGGCAGACAGCTGGCATGGGGCCGGGAGGAGGCCGTGAAGTGAGGAGGTTCACATAGCTACTGTGTCTTGTTGATACACGCCCTTCTCCAGGCTTGGCCCAGCCTTTGTTCCCCAGGCCTGGCGGGCAGGTGTGGGGTTCTGGTCATTGCTTCGTGACTCTGCTTCTGTCTCTCCATGGGCATCAGCATCCCTTGCCTACAGTTCTGAAAGCTGGGTGTGTGCAGCAGTGTAGACAGAAGCTGAAGGGGGCGGTCGGAAGCCGTGTGGTGCTGCAGGAGAACCGGCCAGTGGCTGGAGCGAGGCAGTAACCTTGGCAACAGGAGGAGGAGGATGGAGCCAGGAATGCTGGGGGCCGCCTGGGGGCAGGAGCCTGACCTCAGGGCTGGCTGGGTCTGGTGCAAGCCAAAAAGGGCAGGGCCCTCCTGAAGGCCACAGCAGGCCCTCACCCGCTGCCCTGCCCCGCCCCAGCTGACCAGGCTGCTTCTCTTGCCAGCACATCCTCGTGGCCCAGAGGCAGGTGCAGGTGGCTGAGGAAGCCCTGCAGGACTTCCGCCACGCCCTGTGCTGCTACGTGGACTTCACGGGGTCCCAGAGCCACTGCCTGCAGTGAGTCCTCAGCTGGGTGCTGGCCAGCCAAGGTGGGGGGGTGGACAGGCAGGGAGGAAGGCTGGGCTGGGTGACCTGGGCCAGGGCTCTCCTCAGACACCCTTGGTGAGGTGGGCAGGGGTGGTGGCAGCCCAGGCCTGGCCTGGCCTGGCCGTCTCTTTGGCCCTGCAGTGTGTCTGCCCAGAAGATGCTGGACAAGGCTTCCTTCACCCTGTATGAGTTCTGGCAGGACGAGGCCTCCTGGAGAAGGTAGGAGCGGTGGTCTGACGTTTATTATGGGACCTCGAGTGAACCAAATCTGGGTTCAAATCATCTCCTAGTCACTGGCTCTGACGTCAGGAGAGTTACCTAACCCCTCTGAGCCCCAGTGGCCTCCTTCTCAAAATGGGAGCGATGCTAAGTCCATTCTCTTGTCACCATGTAAAGAACTGAACACAGTGCCAGGTACCAGGTAGGTGCACAGTGAACACACACAGCTCCCACCGTGCCACACCCCATGCCACGTGCCTTGTGTGTGCCTGCATGTAATCCTCATGGTATCAGTGATGTGGACACTGCATCCCCATTTCACGGAGAAAACTGAGGCGCAGAGCCACTATGAGGAAGGACAGAGATCTGAAACCAGGCAGCAGGACTGGGCGGGAGTGGGGAGCTTTTAACCATGTGGTCCTGGTCACTGGGGACCAGCTCCGGCCTCGGTCCACTCTGCGGCCCTCCCCAGGCACCAGCAGTCCGCCTGCAGTAAGGCCTTCCAGCGCATCCTCATTGACCATCTGCGGGCTCCAGACACCCTCACCACTGTGTTCTTCCCAGGTGGGCGGTGGCCGCCAACCCTCTGGGGAAGGGCAGTGGGCACTTGGATGGCCTCTGACTCCCAACCTCTGACCCGCAGCCTCCTGGTGGATTATGAATAATAACTGAGCCCAATTTGCACAAGCCAAGGACTCCAGAGCCCTGCCTGCCTCCTCCTGGAGCGTCCGGACTGGTCAGCTCCACTCAGCTCAAGACCAGGATGCTGCCACCTCCGTAACTGGGGCCCGGCTCTCAGCCTCCCAGAGCCAGCTGGTGGAGAGTCTCACAGCCCAGGGATCAGAGACTGGGCTGCTTGCTTCCTCTTTCTTTCTTTAACAGTGTGTTTTATTGCTTATAGCTTCGGCCTCTGAGATACTCTGGTATTTGTCTGGCCTCAGGAGGCCTGGATTCTGGTCCCCTCTGTCCTGCCTTGCTGTGTGACCAGGGCAGGTCCCTTCCCTCTCTGAGTTGGCCTTGGGCTGTCTGGCTACCTAGTGGGTGCCTGCTTTCTTCTTGCTGTCTTGGGACCAGGCTTCTGCTCTTCCCCAGCCAGCAGCAGAGCCAGGGCTGATGCTCAGGAACTGTCCTCCACCCCCTGCCCCTGACCTCCATCCCCAAGACTGGGCTGGATCAGTCTGCCGTGTGGGCAAAGGACTTGGGGGTCCCCACCCCCTTCCTGGGCCGGCATGCTCCTGACGATTTCAGCACCTGTGGCTGCACCAGAGCCCTCCGGAGGATCCTGGATTGGTTTGCATGTTATTTGCATATTATTTGCATGCTCATTCCCACCCATAGTCAGGGCACTATGGGAAGCCCCAGGGTGACCTTGCTAGGTAGCAATAATTTGGGCCCAGAGTCACCTGCTGCCCCCAGATACCTCTGAACCCCAGCCCAGAGGCAATAAAGGCAGTGGTCACCTCTGGCATCGCTTCCATTCTCTCTCTCTCAGCAAGAAGGCCTGGTCCGCGTGCCTGTGGATGTGGGAACTTAATCATGGCTAATCCAGGTTCCCTCAATTCAGGACCTTCTCACTCCACAAAGCCTGGTTCTGAAGTCTTTTCCTGGGAAAGGAGAGTGGACATGGGTTCTGCCAAAACTCCCCTAAAATCCTGGGGGTTCTAGCTTCACCACCTTCCTTTACCAGCAAGGTGTGGTATGAAGGTGAGGGCAGACCACAGAGCCCTCTCAAGACGCAAAGAGCATTGCTGACCCCTGTGAGAAGACTTGTCCCCAGATAGAACCTCCCCTGCCCTTCCTAGCTGGACTTGTCACCAGCCCTGCTGCCTGATGGTGCCAGAGGGCAGTTCCGGGAGGATACTGGACCTCCTTCTTGCCGTCTTGAGCGAAGGGACTGGGGGCATGGAGGGAGCTGACTGACAAGAAGGCGGGTGGGAGAGGGCGCCCCAGGTCGTGGGCTCTAGCGGGGAGGCACGCGGCCTCACAAGAGCACAGGCTGGCCTCTTGACCTGGTCTGGAAGGTGTGGGGTCAGGAGCATTTAGGCAGAAGAAATGGACAAGTTGAGGCTCTGAGAGTGGGGAGAGCTTGCCTCACTGGACAGAAGGGAGCCCAGAGGTGGGCTGAGGTCAAAGTCAAGGCAAGGTGGCATCAGGGCCTCGAAAGCACTGCATCTTGCAGAAGCTGCGGTAGGCTTTAAGGAGTGGCTGGCCGGTGGGCTGAGTGCCATTTCACCAAGGCACCTGGCTGCGCTGCTGGTGCCAGTCATGGCTGGGCTCTGGGGCACAGCCAGGAAGGCAGCTCGGACGGTGTCAGCTCAGGATAGAGACCTCCTAGGGTGGGAGGTTTCTCCCCGGGGATCCCTGTAGGAGTTCAGACTTGCAGGGACAGGCAGCTGCTCCCACTGGCCTAGCTGCCCAGGCCAGGAACCAGCACAGGGGTCTCTGGGGGCCCCTGGCCAGCAGGCTATCACACTTCCTGGACTCCTGGCAGTTCTAGAAAGTGCTGCCAGCACCTGAGTCACTCAGGTTTGGGTGGCTGGAGGAGGGTCAGGGTCTTCTTGTTAGAGAAGCCCATCTAGGAGGAAGTAATCCGGCTGTCTGCCTGGTCCTGATTCCTTCCGTCTCCTCTATGAAAACAGCACCAACAGCAAACTCTCAACACTAAAAAACTTCCCGTTGCCTCTGAACAAAGATGCTGAAATTCTTCAGCTCAGGCTGACATCTCTCAAGTGGGTGCCTGCTTCATCCTGTGATGGAGTTCTGAAGTTAACACTTTAATTTAAAAAAAAAAAAAGATGGGCTGCATCCTTCCTCCCTGGCTGAACGTTCGGAAGGGGGAGGGTCAGTCCTGCAGGGTCTGAGAAGGCCGCTTGGAAATGGTAATGTTGGGTGGGAGCTGTGAAAGAAGAGTGAGGGTCTCCAGAGGTGAGGGGTAGACAGGCAGGGAGAATGTTCCAGACAAAGGGAGCAGGAGGAGGAACAGTGGAGTGCAAGGGATGGGAGGGGGGACAGGGAGACCAGGTCAGGGGGACTCGGAATGATCAGCCTCTCAGGGAACGGGGAGCTGGGCGTCACCAAACAGGGGAGTGCTGTGCGCAGGTGTGGAGCTGGACAGGAGGAGCCTGGAATTCCAGCTACAGGGAGAACGAAGTTCTGAGCTGGGGCTCTGGGGGCACGGAGGGCCCCAGGCCGCCTCGTGTGTCTACTGAACTCTCAAAAGGCCACATTCATTTCCATCCTGCCATCCCTCTAGGCTCCCAGGTCTCGGCCACCTTCATCTCTGGTTGAGATGACTGCGGCGGCTTTTTTGCTGGGTTTCCCTTCTGCAGTCCGTTCCCCAGAAAGGAACAGACAGGGGTGGGGGTGGGGGGCTGTCTTCAGACTTTGCCATGGTGACCACACCCTTCTGGCTAAGACCTTTCAATGCTTTTAGCATCAAGATCAAGTCTGATGTCTCGACTGGCATTCAGGGCTCTTAGCAGCTATCAATACCCAGTCCTACTACGTGCAGCCGCCTCTCCCTAAAACACTCCAGCTGAGCTGGGCTATCTACAACCTCGGTCACTGCCCTCGAGGCCTTTGTTGCCTCCCGCTCCCCCCCTCCCCCGTCCACTGCCTCCTTAGCCTTCAAGCAGCAGGTCGAAGCCATCGGGTCTGACCCGCTTTCCCACTCCGGGGCCTCAGTGCCCCACTTTCCTCAGCTCATTTCAACAACCACTCGGCCCCGGCTTTGGGGATGGTGAAATGTCTGAGGCTAGTGACAGCACCCGTCAAGAGCAGGCAGAGTAGTGAAGCTGGGCGCTGCCAGCACCACACCCACCCTTCCCCCACTGCCTGCACCTGCCTCCTCGCCATCCTCCCACCTGTGCTGGTGACTCACCTGCACACAGCAAAACCTGCGGCCTGGCTCGGTGCCAGGCCAGGTGCTTGGCGAGACAGCAGCAGTCTGGGTGGCTTCCATTCCCCTCCAGCTTTCAGAGAGAAACACGCACACACACCAAGTCCCCTTAACACAGACTCACAACAAAAGGCCTTCAAGAAGGATTTCCCTGGCTGTCCAGTGCTTAGGACTCTGTGCTTCCACTGCAGGGGGCATGGGTTCCGTCCCTGGTCAAGGAACTAAGATTTCTTCACATGCTTCGAGGCGTGGCCCAAAAATGCTATCCTTGAAACGAATACTATCCGAGGAAGACATCAGGCTTCATGAGGGATGCTGGGACAAAGGTGAATCCTCAAGGATGTCACATATTGGCAGAGAGAAGCAGGTTGTGATGGCAGCCAGCGTTTACAGGGGCTTCCTGGGTGGTAGGCCTTGTGCTGGGTGGTGGTGGCGGTGGTTTAGTCGCTAAGTTGTGTCTGACTTGTGACTGTAGCCTGGTGGACTCTGTCCGTGCAATTCTCCAGGCAAGAATGCGGGAGTGGGTTGCCATTTCCTTCTCCAGGGGATCTCCTGACCTGGAAATAGAACCCGGGTCTCCTGCATTGCAGATTCTTTACTGACTGAGCTACGAGAGACCTGAGGGTGACTCCCATGTGATCACATTTCACCTCACAACAGCCTGGTGGCGAAGGCACCCTTAGCGTCCCCAGTTCACACGGGAAGAACCAGAAGCTCAGCAAGCAAGTGCCTGCTCTGAGTCACACAACTGGGTCTGCCTCCTGGCACTGAGAGCTACTTGCTGTCAAACGTGAACAAAGCTGAGCTGAGCAAAATCTCCCACCATCTCTGGTAACGGAAACCAGGATAGGGCTGGAGGACAGTGGCAGCTTTGACGAGGGAGCGAGGCCAAGCCCTGGGGTTGCGGGATAGCAGAGGACACGGCAAGAAGATCCACGGAAGCATATCGCGAGGTGGAGGGGGGATCTGATGTGGGTTTTTCAGAGCTCAGCCCTTGCAAGGTGGGGGTGCCGAGTCCTGATCATTTCTGGAATGCTCTCTGGGCGCCGCCCAGAGAAAGTCAGCTGAATTCATGGGGCAGATAGGCAGCCTCAGAAAAGGCTGGTGTGAACGGGAAGGGGAAGGGTTCAGGGGTCCGCCCCCTGGACAGGAAGCTGGCTTGTGAAGGGAGGCAGCAGGTCTGACTCTGGCCACAAGAGGGCGCCTGGCACCAGGCAATGAAGCCGCTCCGGCGGTGTGGGTGGTTTGTTGCTGGTTCCCCAACGGTCTTGGGAGGGAGGATGTGGAGGAGGGGATACACTCAACTCACTACCATGAAATTCCAGCACCATGAACAAGCACAGTCGGGCACGATGGTTTAGATCAATGCATGTATGCTCATTCTGAGATTGTATCATCTCAGGCCAGTTATTTCTCTTTATACTGAGTTAGTAGGGTTCTTGACTGCATTCTTTGTAAAATGTGGAAGGGCTCTTTCCTTGAAACCTACCTTCCTAAAGGGGACAGCTCTTTTCCATCTCCTTGTCTATGTCAAGGACCTGTACAGCAATGCTTCACTCATTTTGATTCATTTAATCTGCTGTTCAATAGTGCACAGAGTATTTATTTCAATGACTGTATTCCCCTATCTTCAAATCTACCTAGTCAGTCTCTTACTTTCTGCTATTTTTTTCTAGCACTATCTTAAGAGGTTCCATAGGTATTTTATATACTGTATCTGATAATAACAGTACCTGAAGTCCCGGGGGGGGGGGGTCTAAATAAAAAAATTTTTTTTTCTGTTCAGGAAGCACTTTGTTTCTCCAAGATTAAGAATTGAAAAAAAAAATTCCACTGACAGAAAATCTGCATTGCTTTGCTCAACTTCTGAATGTTGATTTTTGCAGACATATTTCTCTCCAATCATTCCACCCATGATTGATGGATCAGTCTTAACTTCCAGTTTCAATACTTGGCCTTCACTTAGAAAGCTCTTCAGGACCTTTCCTTCTTTTTTTTTTTTTAAATTTAGGCTGTGTTGGGTCTTCACTGCTGTACGCGGGCTTTCTCTATTTGCAGAGAGCAGGGGCTACTCTCCAGTTGTGGGGTGCAGGCTTCTCACTGCGGTGGCTTCTCTCGTTGCAGAGGGTGTTGCGCAGCCTTCAGGGGTTGCAGCACTCGGGCTCAGGAGTTGTGATTCACCGGCCTAGTTGTGTCAAGGCTTGAGGGATCTTCCCGAACCAGGGATGGAACCCATGTCCCCTGCATTGGCAGGTAAATTCCTAGACACAGGACCACTAGGAAGTCCCTAGGACAGGTTTTAATCCAGTAAGAGTAGCTTCATCTAAAGGAGGTGCAGTGGAAACTGTACAAGGTCCTTCTCCGCAGTGGGCACTCATCATAGTATCAGTGGCTCCAGGGAGGATTGTTCAAGCCAACAAGTTGATCCAACTGGTTGAGAGGGGAGAAAACCATTTTTGCGGTGGCGTCACTTAGGCTTTTCACCTTAATGTAATGCTTTACATAAGGATTCATAATAGAAGCAGACTTTTCAGGTTCCTTCAAGATTTGTGACCATCTCAACAATTCTT